ATTTGAGAATCTTATCCAAAAGAAATAAAACAAGTCCAAATGATTTAGATACAAAACTTCCCATAGACCTTATTTGATGGTGACTTCTGCAGAGAAATCATTTGATTTATATTTTTTGGATAATCTTATAAAATATGTTTATATTTTGAAAAATATTTTAATATTTTGATATTTTTTTGATAAATAAATATATGTATATATGATTTGACATTTTAATATTTTGAAAACATAACTTTAAAAGTGTTCCTAAAACATTAAATCATTTGAAAATCGTATCAGAATGTATTATATCGATGCCGGCTATTTTAGGCAAAAATGTGAAATAAATTTTGAATTCACTCACCTCCATTCGTGAATAAATCTGTATAGCTCCGATTAACCATTTATTGCTTGGAATTTATTATGTTACTGTGTAAAAGTAAAGTTTTATATTTTTTTTTTTAAAAGTAAACAAATTCCATTGAAATAATTCTATCTTAAATAAAATGTTATCAAGTATGTATAATAAAACCACAACCTTTAAAATGATTCGCCAACTTAAAAACCGTGATATAAATCAGTATAGTACAACGCTGGTGTATACTTTGTGTTAACATTTTTTTTTTCCAATAAACTGTGGTTTTACAAACCATCGTTAATATTCCTGCTTTTTGCATCTAAATATTCTTCTTGTATCTGATATGCATTATGCCAATGATTCTGCATGCAATAACGTTACAGCAAGCTCAGCATTTGTGATCCATTATGACCCATTGAATGCTGGAAGTCTGTTTACATTCACATCTTTAGTTTTAAACTCGCGTAGACAGAATTATAGGTCAAAATAATACACTTGAGATTCTTAAACACAGACATCATCTTACACTAATAATGCAATGGAAAATCTCTTCAGTCGGGTACACACTTGTTATCATCAGATCTTCAAGTAAACCAACATTTGAGAAAATGCACATCTTGAAGTACGTCGGTTTACTCAGATGAGACTCCGGAAAAGAATACTTTGAGTTTTGCTGATGCCTAAGAGTCTGTGTGTTCCTTTACCATTGCAGATGTTTGTAATACTTTCCCAAGCACATCTAAATATGGTTATCATCGAGCCTGTGATTATCTCTTGCAGCCCTCGAAGACCTTGTGCTAAATTATGTACCTATTCAATAACACAGACTTCCTACTAGAAGGCCGGATTAACTGTTCTAGTTTCTGAGACTCCCACCGTACAGAATGAGTGTTCAACAAAATTACTGTGTGCGTATTTAATAAATAGAAAGTGTATTCACAGGATCAGTGATACTCAAATATTATCTATCCGTCACGTTTGCTGCAGAGTTCATCCAGATTGGCCAAATTCAGATTGAAACTAACATTAGAAAAGTGTCTACTGACATAACAAGAGGAGTTGTGATCACTTTAAAAATTTTCTTGAGAAAATTTTCCCTGGTGCTAAATAATTAAAATGAAAAGGCATGGCAGAATGACAAATATTCCCTTCTTTCCACCTAGGCCATTGAAGACTCGGGTTTTACCAACTTTACCCAATTTTAAAGAAACTATAGCATTAGGAATACAAACATGTGTATACTATAGTGTTCTCCTCACTAGTTAGGTGCAGCCCCCCCCCTCCTCCTCCCCTCAAATTGAGTTAAAACTTAGTTTAGAAAATATTTTACTTACCTTTCTTCTAGCACCAAGACACAATCAGTGCTGCCTCTTACCCCTCCTTCTGTGACATCATAATGGAGGCATCGCTTGCTGACTTCTTGACCAATCCAATGCTCCTAATAGACACCATGCATGCATCCTTTCAAGTGCACCTCATATAAAAGCATTTAAACTGAACGCCACATGACCGAATCAACCTCGATCATTGAAGAGTAAGTGCCTCTAACAGAAGACAGCCGCTAGAGGTATAGGTAACCCTTCAATTGTTGGGAAATACAACAGCATAATATGCATACAATGTTTATTTGTGCACTTGAGCTGTAGATGGCGCTGTTCAGTTCTATATATGTAAAAACAGAGAATATAGGTCGCACCAAAAAATGATATGATATAATAAAATCAATATGTACTCATAAAATGGATAAATTAGAATAAAGTCCTAATAAACGGTGTGCGGATAAAAATAGATAGAAATGCTACCAAAGTGAGCAGTATAGCCTGCACACCCACATGTGAGTATTATACCTTTCACATACCAACTATTTATTGCTGCATACAGAGAGGACTATTTTATTTTATTTTTCCCCATATCGAGGACCTTCACCACCTACTAACACCTATGTCCTACCACTGGGAGATCAACGCCACTGAATGCTATTTACACATGAGCTGGCCATAGCTCTAAAATAGGTGAGTAGGAGGATTATTATCATCATTATCTTCATCTCTCCACCACCGTTAAACAGTTTTACACTATTGGAATCTTTCTCTTATCTGCATGCTTCCACGTCATGTGGACATCTGACTACCTCAGAACCTACAAGACCTATCGAACTTACTCATCTCTTCAATCAACTTGGACTATTTTTATCCACATACCGTTTATTAGGACTTTATTCTAATTCATCCATTTTATGTGAGTACGTATTGATTTTATTATATCATATCATTTGTATTGTCTTCTGATGGTTTGTGAGGGAACATCATACCCTTAGGTTGTGGCCCACCTCCCATCTATCCTAGCTGTCTACTGGTCACTTAGCGCTGATCCAACAACTGATTTTTCCCTCAGGTGATAGCTGCTGTATGACCACTAGTAGTAATGTCTATTTTCAAATTTAGGAGTAATTATACCATAGACATTAATCATGCTTTTGACACTAACAACAGTGACTTAATCTATGAAGATCATCTATGTTTAAACCAACAAGAATTATTTCGAAAATTAGAAAAAGCTTTATCCTCTGAGATAAAATTAAAATGGGAGATTGCGACTCTCAAAAAGAATATAGAGGAAAGGATAACTCCTAGGGGCCTCAGATTGCACAAACTACCGACCTCGGATCAAGATGATGAGAAATTCATGAACGATTCTTTCAACACATTGGAAGTGTTCACTCTAGGACTCATGAAACTCTAATTATATAAAAAAAAAAGCAAAAATCCTTCGAAATTCTATCCTTCTAATTTTAAATCAGGTCCCATTGAGGTTTTCGAAAAACTCGTTTTAAAAGACTTTGATAAGATTAAACACAATACATATGATCACTGTAACCTATCACAGAAAGAATGGAAAGCCTTAAAAGAATGATAAAAATACGAGGATATTATAATCAAACCCGCTGATAAAGGTGCTGGTTTAGTTATTTTGCCTAAAGATATGTATATAAAAGAGGCCAATCATCAGCTTGATGACACAGAAGTGTTTGAGAAATTATCCCATGACCCCACCCTTAAGATAAAAGCCACACTACAAGAATTTCTTACAAAAGGCCTCAATTCCAGAATTCTAAACAAACAAGAATTCGATTACCTTAACATCCCCTTCCCCCTTCCCCAAAATCCCAGTGTTATATTTTCTACCCAAACTACATAAGAATGAAAAAGATCCCCCGGGGAGACCAATAGTGTCTGGGATTAATTCAGTGTTGGCAAATCTCTCAGAATATAGATATTCTGCTACAACCCTCAGTCAAACGTATGAGATACTACCTTAAAGATTCGATGACCCTTCTAAGATTTTTAAACAATTTTACTTGGTATCAAGATTATATCTTGGTCACATGCGATGTCCAACCTTTATACACTATTATACCGAATAACATAAGATGTGAGGCAGTAGAAAATATTTAAAAAAAAGAAAATTTAATCCCAGAGTATCAAATCTATTTTATCTTAAAAGGTATAAGGATTATTTTAACGAATAACTATTTCTGGTTTTTAGATTCTTTTTACAATCAAGGTACAGCAATGGGAACTAGGTTTGCCCCCAGCTATGCTAACCTCTTTATGGCCGAATGGGAGTCCTCAGCCATTTGGGGGGGATCATGCCTGGTGGGCAAACCTGTTTTCCTATTTTCGGTACATTGATGATATGTTTTTTATTTGACAAGGTTCAGAATCCACTCTAGAAGAGTTTTTAAACCATCTTAATGATAATGATAAAGGTATTA